TAGTGGGTAAGGCACCAGACTGGAAAGCAAGAGACTGTGACTTCCAGTCCCGCCTTAGCCATGAAAGCCAGCTAGGTGAGGTTTGTCCAGTCACACTTTTAATCCAACTCATCTCACAGGGTTGTTGTTGTGGGGAAAATAGGAGGAGTAATATGTGTTGGATAGGTTCACTGCCTTGAGTTTTTTGTACATATAATAAAGACGGGATACAAATAAATAAATCATGTCACCCATTAGTCCTTCTGTTTGTTAAATTAAACATAACCTAGTTCTCAAGTATTCATCATACAGTTTAGCCTCTAATTGTCCCATAATAATCTTTGTTGTTCTTTTCTGTGCTCTTTCAAGGGTCTCAGCATCTTTTTTTGTATCATGATGACCAGAACTGGATGCAATATTCCAAGTGTGGTCTCACCGATGCAATTTAAAGGGGCACTATCAGTTCACATGATATTGATATTATCCCTCTGTTGATGCAGCCTAAGACCTCATTGGGGTTTGGGTTTTTCTGGGCAACTGCAGCACACTGCTGGCTCATACTTAAGTGATGACCCACTAGGACACCTAGATCCCTTTCACATTACTATTGTTGAGCCAGGTACTACCTATTCTATACCTGTGCATTTAGTTTTTCTTGCCTAAGTGTAATAACTTAGAAAGAAAAACAGGAAATCCAGCATAATTTCACAAGGACTTCACTGATAAACTGAAAGACAAAAATAACAAATATAAAAAATGGAAAGAGGAACACATAACTAAGGCAGAATATCAACAAATAGCCTAAATTTGCAAAGACGAAGTCAGGAAAGCAAAGGCTCAGAATGAACAAAGACTTGCAACAAAAGTCAGAGATAATAAAAATAGTTTCTTTCAACATATAAATAACAAGAAAAAAGTCTAGGAACAGTTGGTCTACTAAAGAGATGATGGCATGGAAGTAGGCAGTAGAGAGAAAGCAGTGCTCCTTAGTTCATTCTTTGCATCAGTCTTCATGCAAAAAGAAAATATAGCCCAAAACATAACCGTAAAAGAGATTAGGAATACAAATTAAAATAGGCAAGGGAACACCTGTCTGCTCTAGAAGAGTTCAAATCACCGGGACCTGACAGATTATATCCTAGAGTTCTAAAGGAGCTATCAGACGTGATCTCAGAACCATTGAACCATATCTTTCAAAGATCCTGAAGAACTGGGGAACTACCAGAAAACTGGAAAAGAGCTGATGTAGTTCCCATCTTCAAAAAATGTAAAAAAACATATTCAGGAAATATAGGCCCATCGGCTTGACATTAGTACCTGGGAAGAAAAGATAAGTCAAGCAACAGATAGATCTGTGAATGCATCTTATTTCCTACAAAGTTACAACCGAGTTTGTCAGATACAGATCATGCCAAACAAAACTATTTCATTCTTTGACAAAGTGACTAAATTAGCAAATCAGCGAAATGCAGTGGACAAAGTATACTTGGATTTCAGTAAGGCATTTAACAAAGTAGAACCCAACCTACTTCTAGATAAGCTAGAAAAATATGGGATAGACCGCATCACCATAAATGGATTTGTAACTGGCTAACAAATCCCCTTCAACATGTAGCCTTTAATGGAATTACATCTACATGGAGAAAAGTATCTACATGGAGAAAAGAAAAAGAAAAAGGGAGCCTGGATAGCTCAGTAGACAAATGCATTGTAATTTAACTCCAGCTGTCTGTAATTAGTAAGTTCGAATCTCACCAGGCTCAAGGTTGACTCAGCCTTCCATCCTTTCTAAGGTAGGTAAATTGAGGACCCAGTTTGTGGGGGCAATAAGCTGACTTTGTAAAATATACAAAAGTATGAAGGCTATTGCTTAACGCATTGTAAGCCGCCCTGAGTCTCCGGAGAAGGGCGGCATATAAATAAATAAATAAATAAAAGTAAGCAGTGGGGTACCACAGGGTTCCCTTTTAGATCCAATATCCTTCAATATTTTCATAAATGATTTAGATGAGAGAATAGAAGGGGAACTTGTCAAATTTGTAGACAACACTAAGATAGAAAGAACAACGAACACCCCAGATGATAGGCTCAACACTGAGCCCTATCCAACAAATTCAGTGTCGAGAAAAGTAAGGTTCTTTACATTTAGACAAGAAAAACCAGTTACACAGGTACACATTAGGTGAAACCTGGCTGAGAGGGATCTTGGAATCTTAGTAGATAATCATTTAAATATGAGCCAGCAGCGTGCTGCAGCAGCAGCCAAAAAAGCCAGTGCACTCCTAGGTTGCATTAATAGAAGGACAGAATCAGAATAGGGCTGGAAGGAACTTTGGAGGTCTTCTAGTCCAGCCCCCTGCTCAGGCAGAGAATCCTATACCATTTCAGACAAGTCACTGGCTAGTCTCTTCTTAAAAACCTCCAGTGATAAAACACCCACAACATCTGAAAGCAAGCTGTTCCACTAGTTAATTGTCCTCACTGTTAGGAAGTTTATCCTTAATTCCAGGTTGCTTTTCTCCTTGATTAATTTCCATTCTTTCTTGTCCTAGCCTCTAGTGCTTTGGAAAATAAATTGACCCCCTCCTCTTTGTCATAGTCTCTCAAATACTGGAATACTGCTATCATGTCCCCCCAGTCCTTCTTTTCTCTAGACTAGCCAAACCCAAATCCTGCAATAGTTTTTCATATATTTTAGTCTCCAGGCTTTTAATCATCTTAGTTGCTCATCTTTGTACTTTTTCCAAAGTCTCAACATTTTTTCTGTAATGTGACCAAAACTAGATGCAGTATTCCAGGTCTGGTCTTTCTAAGTTTTATAAAGTGATACTTCATGTGATTTTGATTTTATACCTCTGTTTATACAATCAAGAATTGTATTCACTTTTTTGGATGCTGCCGCACAGTGCTGAATCAGGTTTAATTGATCATCCACTAGGACTTCAAGACCCCTCTCACAGTTATTGTTTTTGACCCAAGTTTTGCCTAATCTATACTTGTGTAACGTCTTGCCTCTCCAATCTTCCCAAGAAAGCAGGACTCTTAAAACTGAAGTTGTTCCAAAAAGAAATAGGGGCCAGTCCATCCCTGGTGTCACAATGAAAGCAGTGGTTTCAGAGAGATTTGCCATCGTTAGTTCCAGTGGTTCAGTGGCAAATGTGGCCGGGGCGCCCCCCCGCAATGGACCCATCAAGTTGGCAGAATGAGACTGGGGTTTTTAGTGACCTTAGTTGAATGCCCAGTTCCCCGCCTAGAGTCGGGCTTATTAGGCTTCTCGTGCACCTCGAATCAAGCAATGCTTTATTTACTTTACACAAAGTCAGCTTATTGCCCCCACAAACCGGGTCCTCATTTTACCTACCTTAGAAAGGATGGAAGGCTGAGTCAACCTTGAGCCTGGTGAGAATTGAACTCGCAGTAATTGCAGGCAGCTGGAAGCTAAATACTACCTTTAACAGTAGCATTAGTCAGCTGCCCCACTCAGGCTCTTTAAAAAACAACATGATAAACAAAAGAATATTGAACTGGAATTCAACGGCATTCCCTTTTCTCTCATTGTGTGAATACATTCAACAATTAGGTTTTGTTAACCCAGTTTAAAGTTTTTTGTGTTGTGTAAACCTAGACAGAGTATAAATTATAGTCTGAATCACTGAGAAGCTTGAAAGGCCAAGTAAGGGGCAAGGAGATGCAACAGCAAAAGGCCAGGGATGAAAGGGTATTTTTGCGTTGTTTTATTTTTATTTATTTATCTATCTATCAAGTCTATATGGCCACCAGTCTCACAAGAAGGGACTTCTTTGTTTAGCTGCTGTGAAAGGAGGACTGGATCAGGCAGTGACTAGAATTTAGGCTGAAATCATCTTGCTTCAAAAACAGAAAAGCATCAGAAAAGGCCAAGTAAAGGAAAATGGTATCTTTCCACTAATGCAGCTTCTGCTGCAATTCTGGTGTTAAAAATTATTGAAGGCAAATATACATGTCCAAGGATAATGTTGCAAGATCCAATCTGGGTCAGTCATTGGGACTAGAAGTTTTGTCTTCCAAGCTTTCAGACTCATGCTGGAGCCCATCTTCTGTCTAGCAGAATGTGTGCTGTTCTTTATGTGGTATTTATAGTGCCTGTTGTATGTGGCTTTAAAAAAATGTTTATTGGGATATGTTTATGGCTGGCTTTTAAGACATTAGCTGTTGTCTGTTCATGTTGCTCAGACCTCGCCTTCTAAGTACTGGTGGTAAATCAGCACTCTGACTAAAGAAGCTTCTCATCCAAGAAGCGAAATGTCTTCAAGGAAAAACAAAGTCCAGTTACCTTTTGAAAAAGCATCTTTGAGATAGAGAAGAGAGAATCTGAACTCAATCTCTTCCACTAGTTTTATTTGGAGAGATTTTGGGGATCAAAGGATAGGAGGCACTTTTATTGTGGTCCACCATGGCCTCTTAACAAATAGTACAGACTTAATTTTCTGTAGTGCTTTAGGCTTTATTCTGTAAAAAGACAAAGGGCTTCTTTAATATGGGAAAAAAATATTTCTTGCAATAGAGGCTTGAAGACATCCCCAAAAAGTATAGAGAAACAGCATAAACTCTGGAGGAAAAATGAAAGAGAAGATGCTATCTAAATGCTTTTTGTATAACTTTTTTCTTTTCTTTTAAAAGAAATTCATTACTGTATCACATTAAAAAAGCACCATTTTAAATATTTACAAAATATTGACTGCAACTGTCAGTTATCAATGGGTAGTGAGTTTATATTATTGATCTAAGCATGTATAGGAAGGCCCACTTTGGTATAATGGTTAAGACATTAGACTAGAAACTAGAAGGCAGTGAGTTCTAATAATCGCTGCAGAATAAACATTATGTCTTTCTGCAAATGAGCTGTAAGGCTCTTATACAGGATCTTTCACATTAGAAAGGCTAATTGGCACTTTATCCAAGATGTGGCTTAATGAGCAAGAGGGGATTGTACTAGCATTGTTGCTGGTGATTAAGTGAATATGTGTGTGTCTGCCTTTCAGGTATACAGGTACAACTCCTTCACCACCGCCAGGTTCACACTATACATCTCCTTCAGAGAACATGTGGAACACAGGTGGCGCCTACAACATGAACACAGGGATGGCTGTTGCTGGTACTGTATTTCTTGCTTCTCGCTTCTGGGCTAAGATACTGTTTTACATGCACCTCTTATTTATTTTGGGTCTAGGATATGAGCAATCAGGATATCGGTAGGATCCTTTGGCATCTTTCCATAAAGTAAAAGGATGGCTTTAAAGAGCTCAGTTCTAAAAGGATAGGCTTGATGTTTTTAGGGTTCCTTTGCAAGAAGAATGCTGCTGCTTTGGATATGGCAGCTTTTTCTTCTGGGTGAACAATATAAGCTTGACACATGTATGTTCTATTGGCATTATCACTATTCCTGGAAGAGTCTTGATTATGTTATGATAATGGTTATGTAGTGTATCACATTTGTGTCGTCTATTGAGGATAATACCCAGAGCAGAAGAAAAACTAAGTTGTTTCTTACTAAGCACATGCATAAAGTTGCTTTTTCTCATCGTTTTTCCTCCTTCAGTTCCCAATCAACACTGATTGCTAGTCTTATTCTCCTGACTGGGAAATTGAGTCTAAAGAGTCCTTGTCCACTGATGATGTCAGCCACATCTGTGTTATCACTTGTCTGCCATGCTTCTCCATACTAGAATATAATTTTGTGTATTCACTTATTTTACTGCCCTGCATCCATATACCTAGGTAGAAAAGCTTTCAGATTGGGCAGGAATAAACATCCCATTTAAATGTGGATTAGAGAGAGATTGTGGTGCTGTATCTGCACCTCCCTAAAGAGACTCCTATGTCTGTGTTTTTTAAGTGTCCAAGTGTTTTTTCCCATCCCAAAAGGGTTGGGCAGAGTCCTTGAAGGTTTGTGTCTTGAATAGTGCCTTGCTCACATTTGACTCTATTCCTTTCTAATGTGCTACAGGAATGCCCACAGCCTATGACCTCAGCAGTGTGATTACCGGTGGCACTAATGTTGGCCACAACAACCTTATTCCTCTAGGTGAGTTTATTTGCATTGCGCAGTAGATTCTGGCTTAAAGAGGGAGTCCTAGGAAAGAGTCTTGGTGGCAGACCTGAGGAGCCCAGATCATCACCATGACCTCAGTATTGAGTCTTTGGGGCGTTATACATGGCTCAATGCTTGTAGGCAAGCCCTTTGGAAAGCTAATATATCCTGCTTCATCTAAGTACTCTCCTCTGAATGCCTGGTAGGGTATGTGGACCCTCGGCCACAGAATTACTTTTCTATTTTTTGATCTTGTGCTATGCCTGTTTCACCTTGTGAGAAAAAATGTACTCTACTGCCTTAGAACACAACATAAATTTAGTTCCAGAGTGGTGTTATTTTATAATTTTCTTTGAACTAATTTTAGTTCAGAAAAATAAGTTTTAAAATGGTTTAGTTTTAAATAATCTGTTTCCGTACAGTGTAATTGAACAAAAGTACCTGCAACATGTTTCATTGGGAAAGTATCTAAATTTGTTACGTGCATTAATATTGACAATTGAAAGCTTATGTAATAGATAAAGTTATTATGGCCAGAAGCCAGAAAATGTATTAAGAGTAATTCTCATTACCCCTGATTTTTCCTCTTGTGGTCTCCGTTTTTTTGTATCTGGATATCTACTAAGTTGACTTCCCTGAATAGAATATATTTTTTATTATGGCATAGACCAGAATTAGATAGAAACAAAAATAAGTTAAAACAAAACAGGATGAAAAACAATGCAATTGGTGGTGGATTCATCAGTAGGCAGTCAAAATCTCCCTAATTTTACAAGCAAAATAATCTGATTTCCCTGATCAGGAATACTTACAAGTCTGGGTTCCAAATATTTAAATACCTACAGAAATTGTGTTTCCATCTACATGAATGGTATAGATTAGGCAAGATCACTGCAGAGCTCAGTGATTTAATAGAAAATCAAATAACTCTCAATTCTTCTTAGTGGCCCTTGTTAGAATAGACTATTTCTTCTACTGGATATTAGAGGATAATAGCCTATGGAAATCAAATAAAACAAACATTGTATTTGCAATTGGAATGAAAAGTAGCAAACCAGGACTTTTTCCTCGCACAAAGAATATCTCAGAGCTTTCCAAGGCACCTAGTAATGCTTTGGTAATGTTAGTATCTCTTGAGAAGTGAAACTCCAGCATAGAATAAAAGCGGTTATACAAGGGATAGGTGGACATTATACCACCTTGAACTTAAAATGACTTTGTAAAAAGAATTTCTCCCTGTCCTTTTGAATAATAATAATAATAATAATAATAATAATAATAATAATAATAATAATTTTATTTCTATACCGCCCTTCTCCCGAAGGACTCAGGGCGGTGTACAGCCAATTTAAAAACACAAGACACAACAATAATTAAAAATTAAAATAATTAAATAGATTTGGCCGATTTAAAACCCTAAAAATTAAAATACCCCAATTTAAAATTATTATATGGACAGCCCTGCCTGGTGGAACAACAGGGTCTTCAATGCGCAGCGGAACACCCGGAGGTATTTCCGGGGACAGTTCATTCCACAGGGCTGGGGCTCCCACAGAGAAGGCCCTCCCCCTGGGTGTCGCCAGCCGACATAACTTGGCTGATGGCACCCTGAGGAGACCCTCTCTGTGGGAACGGACTGGTTGGTGGGAGGCTATTGGTGGCAGAAGACGGTCTCGAAGGTACCCGGGTCCTATGCCATGGAGCGCTTTAAAGGTGGTAACCAACACCTTGAATCGCACCCGGAAGACCACTGGGAGCCAGTGCAGCTCGCGCAGGAGGGGTGTCACGCGGGCACAACGAGGTGCGCCCATAACCACCCGCGCGGCCACATTCTGGACCAGCTGGAGCCTCCGAGTGCTCTTCAAGGGGAGCCCCATGTAGAGAGCATTACAATAGTCCAGCCGGGAGGTGACAAGGGCATGAGTGACCGTGCGCAAGGCGTCCCGGTCCAGAAAGGGCTGCAACTGGCGGATCAGGCGAACCTGATAAAAGGCCCCCCTGGCCACGGCCGTCATATGCTCTTCTAAAGACAGCTGTGCGTCCAGGAGGACACCCAGATTGTGAGCCCTCTCTGTGGGGGGCAAAGATTCACCCCCAATAGTCAGCGATGGCACCTGCTGACTATATCGGGACGCCGGCAGCCACAGCCGCTCGGTCTTGGATGGGTTGAGTCTGAGCATGTTCCTCCCCATCCAAACCCGCATGGCCTCCAGGCAGCGAGACATCACATCAAGGGCATCGTTGGGGTGGTCTGGGGTGGAGATGTACAGCTGAGTATCATCAACGTACAGGTGACACTTCACCCCAAAACCACGGGCGATCTCACCCAGCGGCTTCACATAAATGTTGAACAGAAGAGGCGAGAGGACCGACCCTTGTGGCACTCCCCATGCGAGATGCCTCGAGGTCGACCTCTGCCCCCCTGCCAACACGAACTGCGAGCGGCCAGAGAGGAAGGAAGAGAACCACCACAAAACGGTGCCCCCTACTCCTAACCCTTTCAACCGCTGCAGCATGATACCATGGTCGATGGTATCAAAAGCCGCTGAGAGATCTAATAGGACTAGGACAGAGGAGCAACCCCTGTCCCGGGCCCTCCAGAGATCATCCACCAACGCGACCAATGCCGTTTCTGTGCTGTGCCCCTGCCTGAAGCCCGACTGGTACGGGTCTAGATAGATAGCTTCATCCAGGTGCCTGGGCAGTTGTCGTGCCACCACACTCTCAACAACCTTCGCCACAAAACGAAGGTTGGAGCCCGGACGGTAGTTAACTAATTCAGCCGGGTCCAGGGAAGGCTTCTTGAGGAGGGGCCTCACCACCGCCTCTTTCAAGGCGACGGGAAAGGCACCCTCACTCAGAGAAGCAGTTATAATCCCCTGGAGCCAGCCTCGTGTAACCTCCCGGGAGGCCAGTACCAACCAGAAGGGACACGGGTCCAATAAACATGTGGCGGCACTAATCCTACCCAGAACCCTGTCCACATCCTCGGGAGCCACAGGATCAAACTCCTCCCAGATAATCTCAAGACCTACCCTCGTCTCCTCCCCTGGACTCACCCAGTCGGGAGTCCAAGCCTTCCCGAATCCGAGCGACTTTATCGTGCAGGAATTGCACAAAATCCTCAGCTCGACCCTGCAAGGGATCCTCCCACACTCCCCCCCTGAAGAAGGGAGTGGGTCACCCTAAACAGGGCGGCTGGGCGGTTCTCTGCAGATGCGATAAGAGCGGAAAAATGGTTAGATTTCGCCGCTTTTATCGCCACTAGGTAGGTCTTGATATAAGACCTCACCTGTGTCCGGTCAGAATCAGAATGACTAGTCCTCCAAATGCTCTCTAGGCGTCTTTTCCGACGCTTCATCTCTCTCCGCTCCTCAGGAGCCAATTGAGATCGGCATCGGGTCAGAGGCCGCAAAGGCACGACACAATCCAAAGCTCTGGCAGCCACACTCTCCCAGGCGGCCACCAGCTCTTCAGTCGAGTCGTGTGTCAGAGTCTCAGGAAACGGCCCAAGCTCCATCAGGAACCTTTCTGGATCCATCAGGCGCCTGGGACGGAACCATTTAGTCGGTTCCGTCTCCCTGCGGCAGGGGGAAGCGGTAGGAAAGTCCAAGTGAAGGAGCGAATGATCTGTCCATGACAAGGGTTTAATGTCTAAGTCCCTTCTACCAAGATCATTCAACCACTGACCAGAGATGAAAATCAAGTCCAGAGTGTGTCCTCCTATGTGAGTGGGGCCTTGAACTAACTGGGTCAGGTCCATGGCTGTCATGGAAGCCATGAACTCCCGAGCCACCTCTGACGTCTCACCCGCGGATGGAAGGTTGAAATCCCCCATGACAATAAGTCTGGGGGTATCCACCGCCACCCCGGCGATGACGTCGAGTAGCTCGGGTAGGGTCGCTGCCACGTGGCAGGGAGCCAGGTACGCAGTCAGCAAACCCATCTGCACCAAACGGCCCCACTTCACAAACAGGGACTCATATCCGGCTATCTGAGGAACAGTGGTCTCCCTCGGACAAAGACTCTCCCTAATAATCACCGCCACTCCCCCACCCCTCCCCTGGGCCCTTGGCTGATGAAATGCACGAAAACCTGGTGGGCACATTTCAACGAGGGGGACCCCCCCCCTCTTGGCCCAACCAGGTCTCCGTAATACCTGCCAGGTCCGCACCCCCCTCCAATATAAGATCACAGATGAGGGGAGCTTTATTGACAACCGACCTGGCATTACATAACATCAGCCGTGGACCCTGGCCCTGAGACTCTGCACAACCCAGGCCACGAGGCACGCATTGGGGACGACCAGAGTGCGCAATTGCTCGTAAACAGCGTATGCGCACCCCCGGCACATGATATGGTCCCCTGCGCCCATCATACCTGCCCCTCCCACTCATTATTTCAATTGCATTGCCCTTCTTGTTATCCCCCTGCTCCCCGGATAAATTTTCTTTCCTGACCCCTCTGCTGCAGCCAATCAGCCTGTCACCCCGCTCAGTAGCTATCTGGACCCCCCCAGGTCCACTTTCACAACCCCCTCCCTTCCTCCCGGGTCCCCTTAAAATTTTCTTTTAAAATTTAAATAAAAAACCCCTCAACCCCCTCTTCGCTGCATGCCATCTCTCGGGATTCCAAAATCCGTCATCAAGATAGGCCCTCGATAGCGTGGAGGGCCAGGGGGGAGTCTCGCAGTGCAAGGAGTTCGGCGGCCGAGTGCATCAAGAACCGGGAAGGGTGAAGCATCCTCTGGCTGAGGTTCCATAGAATAGTCTAATCGTCCTAGGGCATGGAGAGGCAGCAACTCAAGACATGGAAAAACTGGGCTCCACTGTCCTCTCACGACAGTGGAAGAAGTCTCGTGCCATTTCAACAAAACTCAGAAAGTGCTCTCTCCAGGCCATCCTCTCACGATGGCTAGCCGAGATGGAGTTGGCTATGGAGAGATTCGATAGTCTATCCACTCTGGTAGGGAAACTGCAGTTGAACCGGACTCCCTCAGAATCCATATCAGAATTGTCCATTCTCCACACCATCAAGGGCATAGGTGGAATAGAGCCAGTCTAGAAGGCAGAATAGTAAACCCGGGGATCAGATGACACATGGAAAGCAATGAAGGGAGATGGCTTGCAAGGCAGAAAGTAGCTGGGGTGGTGACCATGATAAGGCCTATACATGCCAACAAAAAAGGGGGGAGGGGGGAATGGCCTGAGGCAGCCCAAGGCCAACCCTCGGCCGTCTTCCAACCTCTCCCACTCCCCAGGTCTTCCAGCATTTTATACCCCCAGTCTACAGCCCCAGTCTCCAATGGGGCCTCCAGATTCCTGCAGCAAAGTGGGACAGCAGAAATAGGCCGCCCCCTAGCAGGTCCAGGGTTTCAAGATAGAAGCCAGCAGCCTCTCACCATAGCGTCCTCTTCGGTAGCAGCCAGCTGCCGCCCCCTCGCCTCCGCCATCGTCCAGCGGCCGCCCCGCACCCACTGCCAGTGCCGGCGCCGCTTCCACCATGGCTCCCACCATACTCCAGGGTCCCCAGGAGCCTCAGAAAGCCCCGGAGAGGCCAGGAATCCAGGGGAGCCACCGCATTGCCGCCGCCACCACCACCGCAGAGCTGCCGCTGCCGTCGGTCCATGCCGGAGGCCGAGAAAAGCGCCGGGCTTTCTATTAGACTTTATTAATGAACCTTGTCAGCAGAGTGGATTTGAATCACTTTCCCCCATTTCTATCTGTTCTGGGGACTTTTTAGTAGAAATGAGAATCAAAGTCATGACACCTTATAATGTAAATGAATCAAGTGTGCCTATTCTTCTGGTATTTGTGATAAATTGTTTCTGAATTGATTTGTCAGATATAGCTGTGGTGCTCAAAGCTCCTAAATTATTAGATAGAACATTAAAAATATGCTGCAGAATTTTGCCAAGAGAATGGGAAGAAACAACATACTAGGGGATTATATCCTTGCAAATTCATTTGGCTATAGCCAAGGAAGAACTGAATTTCAAGCCATTCCTTAAGGCATGGGTAGTTAGATAAAATACTAATTCTGTAAGTACCAGTTTTAGAACCCACATGAATCATTGTATAATTCAAAAAAGATTCTTCTGTGTTTTCAAAGACAATAAGAAATAGTGCCTAACAAATGCCCACAGGTCATTTTGTATGAACCATAATTTGAAGAGAACTGAATCTCTTCATCTGCTTGCCAATTAATGTTTCATTTGGGAAAAAACTCCTCAATATCTGCCAGGCATATTCAGGCCCAAGGTATTCTGGATGAGAAAGATTTAGGGTTGTTGGTTACAGGATGGAAACATAAAAAGATTTGCACATCTCAAACTTGCTGATGTTAGCTTTGTATCAGATGAAATGAAATGGTTTTTTAAAGAAGACTTTAAATTTGAGCTGATTTCGCAGGATACCTATTGTTGATGGTTAGATCATCCTCACAGTCACCTCATAGTGTTCTATTGAAGTATTTTCTTAGGAATAAATTATAACTGCTACTTTTAGGGTCAGAAGAAGTAAAATGCTATATTCTGGAACACCCTTGGGATAGGACACTCCTGCTCCCCAACCCTCCAAATCAAATCTGCTTCTCCCCGCATAATCCCCGCATAATTATCAAGACGGTGCTTCTTTGTCACAGTAGGGTATAATATTGCCAAGCTGGAAAAGTGTTATATCCAGAGAGGCTAGGGAGAGATTAATGTCAGTCACATTCAGCTCAGTTTTAGATTCCTAAAATTTAGCATTCCAGTTGCCCCCTCCCTTTTAATTTGTGAGAAATGGCTTGTGTTTGACCTTCAGGTAAATACAGGAGAAATAATTCTCAACCTCCATTCTCGTTTATGATGACTCGCTGAGTTGTTAATCAAATGCAGTGTAAGAGATTAGACCTTTTGCATGCACATGGCCTGTTTTTGGACTAGAGATGGGTGAGGCATCTGTAATGTGTGTACTTGCAGATGATGGAAACATGTTAAAGGTGAAGTAGCCCCGTGTAGAGATTAGGCCTGTCTGAGTATTTTTCTTTTTTCCCAAGCAGCCAACACTGGGATTGTCAATCACACCCATTCCCGGATGGGATCCATCATGAGCACAGGGATTGTCCAAGGTAAACCTGCCCTTGGGCTTTTTTGGAACTGAGGGGAAAGTGGCCCTGTGTGCTCTCTTCTCCTCTGTAGGATTTTGAACACTTTGGCTGAGAAAAGTAGCAGGCAGCATGTTGGGTTTGAGAAGGGGCAAATACTTTTACAGTACATTTTGAAACTGACATTATCCCTGAAATTTAACTAAGCTAGATAAAATTCTAGATGGAATAAATTCTATTAGCTCATTTTGGCATCAGATCAATTTGCATCAAGGCAGCTTTGGGGGCACTGGTTATTGACTGGTTTATTCTGGCTTGAGTTTTCAGGGGCAAGAGCCTGCTATCTTTGATGCGTAATGTGGACTAGAACTGAACAGTTCAACCCATAGGCATTTTGTCAGTCCTGTCTTTGCAAAAGAGGCAGCAAGCTCTTCCTTATAGATGGAGCTCTAAGAAAGCATGTCTCCTCTTTTCTATTTCTTACTCCCACCCTCCCATGGCATTAAAACTAGATTTTGCCAGCTATATTATAAAATGTGAGGTTTTGATTTTAAATTGAAATTTGCTAGATGAGGAATGGATCTGGATCCACTTTTAAAAAACAGGTGACTAGTTGTACTTAGACTTTTTTGCTGAAAACTAGAATTCCTTCTGCTATATCCAGCTGAATGCTTTTCTCTCCTGCTACAGGCTCGTCTAGTGGCCAGAGTGGAGGAACTTCAACTGCTCATTACCCGGTCAACAGTCAATTCACTATGGGGGGACCAGCCATTTCTATGGCATCCCCCATGTCTATCACCACCAACACAATGCATTATGGGAGCTAAGAAACCCTCATCCCTGAACTGACAGCATCAGGAAACCAAATGGAGAAAAAGTTCCACCTCCCTGCCCACTGTATCTCACCAGTTGGCAGTCATTTCTCTGGATCTCTTCTGCCCTCCAGTAGGTTACCCAGAGATGGTCTAATCTTTGTACAATAGAAGACAAAAACTCACTGGCTTAATAGCGAACTTGCATACTTTTTCATGAAATGTTGGAAATTTCAATTTGCTCAACCATGACTGAGTTCCTGTGCTTACTGTGTCTTACAACCAATCATGTCAATAATAGTATCGTTCCTCAGTCTGCCATGACTGATTGGCATTAGGCACAGGCTATAGATCTGAACTGCCATAGGGCCTCTAACATGCTCTAGGCAGCCCACCAACAACAGAAACTTCATCATTTATTGCTACACTCCCAGTATTTTAAATGAAGGGGCTGCAGCTGGCTGTAGAATGGGCACAGGTAAGAATCCAGCAGCATATCCATGTCGATTTCTTAGGCATCCCAGTCTTTGGGCTAGTGTTTGTTGCATAATTAAGACTTAGGAGGAATATCTCCTGGGAAAGACAAAGACCCATCAACTTCCTGGCTTTCAGATAAGCTCCAGCATCTTACTGCTGTAAGTCTTGGGCCATGTGAAAAACATCTGAGATGAAAGAAGACTGTTTTATATGCCACAAGCATCTTATCAGCAGGTCTGATGATTGCCTGTCTCTTGGGAATATTGATGTAGCATCAAAGGGTTAAAAAATTTAAAACACAAATGTACCAAAAATATTGTTGCTGGCTGGAAATGGTTTGTGTATCAATTTCCTGTTGCTCATTTTAAACCTAATCCCATTTTCTAGTCTGTTCTTAAGGTGTGACAGCACCTATGATTAGTTCCTCCCTTCTGGGCAGAAGTGGATGCCAAGTGGTTTAGTAAGTAACTTGTCTGCTTCCCGCAGTAACCACCATTTAGAGTAACCACTCTAAATAGATTGGCAATTGTTATGGGGTCCCTTTGTAGTACTTTTATGTGTAATTTGTAACCCATTCTTTTTTTCTTCTGAAGAGCCTCAAGCCAATGTTTCTGAAAGGACTTGACAAGCAACTATTTTATGGAGGAGAAAAGTGGTTTACTTAAGGCAATGTTCTTTGGGTCCCAATAGTGGCTGAATTGGGGGGAGGGGTGGGACCATTCTGGAGAACCTTCATAGTGGCTGGGTTGTGGGTCTATAAAACCAATTGTTGGGTCTGGCTGATCAATGATTTTGTGACTATTGAATAAAACTGGGAGGGTTTTGAAGATCTGTTTCTAGTGACTGGTTTCCCAATCCCAGGTTTAGATGAAGCAGCTTAAAATTTATTTGTATTCACCTATTTTGAAGTCCAGTTGAAAGAAGTGCCTTCCATTAGAAATGTTCCTCAAATGATTTGATTTTCCTTACATTGCTAAAAAGTCGCCTGATTCTCTCTACTAGTCATAGTTAAGGAAAGTTTAGGAAATTATTAACTTGTTCCGTTAGGCTTCTTATGGCTACCTTTGACATGATCATAAGTCACTCAGACAAGTCCTGGATACAGCAGACTTACTGGCTTTTTAACAGACATCCCTGCAAAGATCTGCTCTATATTAATATAGGAAGTTAAGAAAAAGCTAATGTACTTTCCAGAGATGATAGTTTAATTCAAATTAGCCTTGCATGCCAAAGAAATTAAATGGTTAAATTAATTTTAAGTGATATTTTGGCTTATATGAGAACTTCACTTGCATAGTAATTATTTGCTAAACCCACAGGAATGCACCCATTTAAATTTTCCTGCTTTTTTTCTCTGTTGCAATTGACCTAGGATTTAGCTGAAAGATGTAAGAGATAAAGCCTTAATGCAACCCATCTCTTCTCTCCTCTTGCAACAGGCCACCCTGCTACAGCAGAGCAAATGGCAGCTGCATCAACCAAAGCAGCTCTGAATGCTTAGAATTGCCAGGCCTCGCAAGTGGCTTCTAGTGTAAGCTGCTTCCTAAATCAGGCCAATTGCTGGTGAGCTCTGGCTGGCAGCAACAAAACAACGAATTTTGAAATGGTAATGTATGACTTTGCTTGGCCCACTGGCAGGATCCTCTTCCAGATCAGGGTTTTTATGTCTCTTGAATAGGGTGTCTTGAGTGTCTCTTCCCTGATACTTGATATTCAAGATCGATGTCTGTAAAAGAAGCAATTCAACAGAACAAATATTGGGGAGAGAGCCAAAGGTCAAACCTTTTCAACAGTGTTGTGATTCTGCATTTCCATTAATACGGATGAGTAAGGGGATAGTAATACTTGAAATAAAATACCTGCATATTTTTCAAAGTCTAGTGCAGGGTGTTATCAGATTCCTTTTCCCTCTGCTGCAGTAAATGAGGGTGTATGCTTCTGCTGTTGAGTTGCAGTTGTATAAGCAATAGGAGTAGAAGATGTGATGCTTGGTTTCTGAAAGAAATAGAGCTTCAAAAAGACAAGTTTAAATTGGTTGAAGCAGGAATCAAATAGGACTCTCTGTCCTATGTCCCCCCACCTGGATTTCATCATAATGACTGTCCTTACCCAATTTCTTAAAATGTTCAAAGGAGCAAACAGAAGCTTTTTTATTCCAAACCCTGGCTTCACAGATACTACTCATTTACTATTCTCTCTTTTCCCCTCCACCCCAACCCCCTTACTCTTCAGGATAGTCTAATGAGTAACACAGTGTTCAAAGATGTTCAGTGCTCGTACACTTTGCAATTTGCAACTACACACTTTGAAAGCATTTAACCTTTATTTTCGACTTGGAGACATGCATTACAGATATTGCATTTGGCCCAATTAAGACTGAATCTTAACATGGTCCACAGAAAAAGGGCAATTTTACAGAAAAAAATTATATATCCTAACTGAAACACAAGTCAAACTCTTTCATAAAATATGTTAATCTAGGCTCAAAAAACAAAAATCTAAACATGCTTATTTTCCAACTGAATAATATTTCTCTCAGCAACTGAAATAGGTTAGTGCAGAACAGAAGATACATACCTTGCATCCAATAGCTAGGAGGATATGAAGAGAAACAACAATGGCCATTACAGCACAAGAAGCTGGCTTACTATCTGAACGGATAACTGGCCAGAAGGTAAGGATCAGAACTGAGCCTGACAACCCTATTGCAAGTATGATCAGGAGCCACTGCAGCCATGGGATAGGGATTAGCCACAGAACCTATTAAGGAAGATGACAGTGAATCACTCTGTCAAAATTTTACAGACTAACCCATCTTCCCCAAAAAGTGGCAATTCCTTGCAAGAATATATTCTACAGAGAATGAATGATAGATCTGCCAAATGCCTGACAACTTACCGCAGTAGGAATGTACACAAACAGTGAGTAGCCATAAATGCACACCATTTCTAGAAAAGAATACACATCAGTGGTGACATGGGCTCCCTTTCGCCATTGTAGATAGCCCCACAGACCTAAGGGTACCAGCCAGGCATAGCAGTAGATTACTATGCTTGCAATAGTCACTGCACAAGAAGAAAACTGTATTAAGTGCAACATTCCCTAGCAAGAACTAAAATTGAAGCATGTCATAACCTTCCATCATATCTACAAAGAAGGGAATGGGAATTCATAGAATAAACTAATTATGTTTTGTAATAGTCTGTAAAGTAGTTCTTTATTATCATTTTGACTCCCTTCCCCACCTTTACTTATAACTCAAGATGGCAAACGTGCCTAACATTCCTGCCTATTTTTTCACACAGCCCTGTGAGGTGGGCTGAGCTGAGATAATGACTGGCCCAAAGTAATTTCATACCTAAGGCAAACTCAATCTTTTGTTTTCTGCGCAAACTATTTCTCAGTACTGATAAATAAACAATACATGCCTTCATTCCAATTCTAGGGGGATTAAATAAAAGTTGGGAGCCAGGATTTATACATTTTTAATAATGCTCTTCATTTGCATATTTTAAATAAAAGACAAGGAGATAGTTCTTTCCTTCTCATAGCCAAACAGATATTCATCTGTAAGTATGAATCAGGAGCTATGGTGGCGCAGTGGTTAAAATGCAGTATTGTAGGCTAACTCTGACCACTGCCAGGAGTTTGATCCTGACCAGCTCAAGGTTGACTCAGCCTTCCAAGTAGGTAAAATGAGGACCCAGATTGTTGAGGGCAATATGCTGGCATTGTAAAGGGCTCAGAGTGCTGTAAAGCACTATGGAGTGGTATATAAGTCTTAAGTGCTATTTCTATGTATCAAAATACTCAGCAGGCAACAAAAATAATATTTTTCCACATATTTAACTTGCCTATTCTTGATATGGCTACACTTCTACCAACCAAAGTCACTCCACAGTAAGATGGGTGGCATATATATGTGTTTCTGTATATAAATTATACGCAGAAAAATGATTAGGAGTATAATTCAACAAGTAATATACTAGCCTCAGAACTGAAGTTCCAGGAACTACTTTCATATCAAAATCTCACCTTTGTGGAACTGAGGGCTGTAGTGGAAGGAGGAGCTCCCCCTTTTTTCCAGGAAGTAAGATAAGTTACCGCTGATGGCTAATGTAAATACCAATGTGGCACAGATCCAGAAAGGTCCTATGAGGGGCAAAAGAGCCAACACCAAAGAAAAGAACAAAAGTATAAGGAATCTCATAAGGAATAGGTGTCTTAGCAGAGACTGCAATGGAAACAGGAAAGCCATTTTTATAATACAACAAAACAGAATTGGGTGTCAGTAAATTTTGCCACCTTCCTTAATATTATGGAAAAGAGGGTTTGAGGACAGATAGGACCAACAGCACTAAAACTACATTTCCATTATCAGGGATAAGGAAAAGGAGAAATGGACTTTGGCAAAAATGTTTGAAACTTAGCAGCACTTTAACAATGGGGCATGTATCTCAGCACAGAATTTGAGATCTTGTGGGAAATGAAACCATCCTTGAAATAAAAAAAATTAACCATGGTGCTTCAGCCTACTATACTTGTGACTGCAGAAATGCTGCATGGCCTTTCCCAACTCTGCTATAATGGGCTGAAAACCAAGGACTGCTATAGGGCTTGTGTGCATTTGACAGGCAGAGTAAATGGAAAATTAGGAAAATGTGAGGCTTTCTGCAGATTTCTTGCATCTGTGAAAGTAAAGCAAGAAACTATCTTTGTTCTAGGTCTCTGATAGTTTCTGGCCTGTGACTCATCAACTACAGGTAGTTTTTGAAGCTACAGTGGCCTTAGAAAGGGTGTGCTGTAAAACACTTCTGTCGGAAAATGTGCTGCTCTCTTCCCCATGGTCACAACCACATTTTGGATGCTTGCCAATCGACTCGCATAAGCAACCAGTTGCAGCATCCTGTAGTCACGATTGTGATTTGCAATGGTTTTTGTCAAAAGACCCCCATTCGGGAGAGTGAATTCACTTAATGACCATGTGATTGGCTTAATAGGTGGTTTAAAATGGTAAAAAGATCAGGTCTGGTCATGTGGATGCTTCAATTTACGACCAAAACAACTCAACAATCACAATTATAGTCCCAGTTATGGTCATAAGTTGAGGCCTGCTTGTATTGAATTTCAAGTAGATGATCCTTAAGGGATGGACTCTAAGCCTCACTTTGTCCATTTATTTGGTGAAGACTTCTGTGGACTATTCTTTTAAAAAGGGATCTTATTCTTTACCCATCAAATTTATGAGCTGATCCCCAAATCAGAGATCTGAATCAGTCCGAACATTGACTGACTGTTGGTGGCAGGAGAAATAGAATAGAATAGAATAGAATAGAATAGAATAGAATAGAATAGAAATAGAATAGAATAGATAGAATAGAATAGAATAGAATAGAATAGAATAGAATAGAATAGAATAACAGAATTTTTTATCGGCCAAGTGTGATTGGATACACAAGGAATTTGTCTTGGCGCATATGTTCTCAGTGAACATAAAAGAAGATACATTCATCAAGAATCATAAGGTACAACATTTAATGATAGTCATAGGGTACAAATAAGCAATCAGGAAACAATATCAATATAAATTGTAAGGTTACAAGCAACAAAATTACAGTCACAGTCATAAGTGGAAGGAGATGGGTGATGGGAGTGATGAGAAGATTAATAGTAGTGCAGACTTAGTAAATAGTTTGACAGTGTTGAGGGAATTATTTGTTTAGCATAGTGATGGCATTCGGGAAAAAACTGTTCTTGTATCTAGTTGTTCTGGTGTGCAGTGCTCTATAATGTCGTTTTGAGGGTAGGAGTTGAAACAGTTTATGTCCAGGATGTGAGGGGTCTGTAAATATTTTCACAGCCCTCTTTTTGACCTGTGCAGTAAACAGATCCTCAATGGAAGGCAGGTTGGTAGCAATTGTTTTTTCTCCAGTTCTAATTATCCTCTGAAGTCTGTGTCTGTTTTGTTGGGTTGCAGAGCCAAACCAGACAGTTGTAAAGGTGCAGATGACAGACTCAATAATTCCTCTGTAAAACTATATCAGCAGCTTCTTGGGCAATTTGAGCTTTCTGAGTTGGCACAGAAAGAACATTCTTTGTTGTGCTTTTTTGATGATGTTTTTATTTATTTATTTATTTTATTTTATTTCTATACTGCCCTTCTCCTGCGGGACTCAGGGCGGTATACAGCCAAGATAAAACATTGCATATAAAATTTAAAAACAATTTAAAAAACAATTAAATAATTTCGGCCCAAGATATTAAAAACAACCCAATTAAAACTGAATTCAATTAAAACTGAGAGGATGGGATCAAGCCAGCCCGGCTAGATGGAATAGTGTTTTCAGGGCCCGACGAAAAGTGCGGAGGTCTGATATCGTGCGTATCTCAGGGGGTAGGTCATTCCAGAGGGCGGGTGCTGCCACAGAGAAGGCTCTCCCCCTGGGGGTCGCCAGCCAACCCTGTCTGGTCGACGGCACCCTGAGGAGGCCCTCTCTATGCGAGCGAACCGGTCGGTGGGAGGCTATTGGCGGCAGAAGGCGGTCTCGCAGACACCCCGGCCCTAAGCCATGGAGCGCTTTAAAGGTGGTCACCAACACCTTGAAGCGCACCCGGAAGACCACAGGTAGCCAGTGCAGCTCGCGCAGGAGAGGTGTCATATGTGAGCGCCCCGTCGCTCCCATAATCCCCCACGCGGCCGCATTCTGGACTAACTGTAGCCTCCGGGTGCACCCCAAGGGGAGCCCCATGTAGAGAGCATTGCAGTAGTCCAGGCGGAAAGTGACGAGTGCTTGAGTGACCGTGCGTAGGGAGTCCCAATCCAGAAAAGGGCGCAACTGGCGTATCAGGCGAACCTGATAAAAAGCCCCCCTGGCCACGGCTGTCATGTGCTCTTCTAAAGACAGCCGTGCATCCAGGAGGACGCCTAAGTTGCGAGCCCTCTCCGTGGGGGCCAGTGATTCGCCCCCAATAGCCAGCGATGGCACCAGCTGGCTATATCGGGACGCCGGAAGCCACAGCCACTCGGTCTTGGAAGGGTTGAGTCGGAGCCTGTTTCTCCCCATCCAGGCCCGCACGGCCTCCAGGCACTGGGACATCACTTCAAGGGCATCGTTGGGGTGGCCTGGGGTGGAGATGTACAGCTGAGTATCGTCAGCGTACTGATGGAACTCCACTCCAAAGCCACGGATGATCTCACCCAGCGGCTTTACATAAATGTTGAACAGAAGGGGCGAGAGGACCGACCCTTGTGGCACTCCACAAGCAAGGCGCCTCGGGGTCGACCGCTGCCCCGGTTGCTGTTTTTGATGTTAGCTGTCCATTTTAGATCTTGCGATATGGTAGAACCTAGAAATTTGAAGGTCTCTACTGTTGATACTGTGTTGTCTAGTATTGTGAGAGGTGGAAGTATGGAAGGGGTTCTCCTGAAATCTACCATCTTTTCTACGGTTTTGAGTGTGTTCAGTTCCAGATTGTTCCGGTCACACCATGAGGCTAGTTGTTCAACCTCCCATCTGTATGCGGATGGGAGGTTGTCTTCATCATTGTCTCAAATGGGACCGATCATTGTTGTGTCATCTGCGAACTTCAGTAGTTTAACAGATGGATCATTAGAGATGCAGTCAGTGGTATACAGAGAAGTGGGGAGAGCACACAGCCTTGGGAGGCCCTTGTGCTAATTGTACAGGTATCTGATGTGATTCTGCTTAGCTTCACCTGCTGCTTCCTGTTTGTTAGGAAGCTTATGATCCACTTACAAGTGTGTTCAGGTACCTGTAGCTGGTTTAGCTTAGTTAGAAGTGTGTCTGGAATGATGGTATTGAATGCTGAACTGAAGTCTACAAAGAGGACCCTTGCATAGGTCTTTGGAGATTCAAAATGTTGTAGGATGTGGTGCAGAGCCATATTAACAGCATCATCTGTTGAACTATTTGCTCAGTATGCGAATTGCAAGGGGTCTAACAGCGGATCGGTGGTGGTTTTCAAGTGGGGCAGCACTAGCCTTTCAAAAGTTTTCATGACTACAGATGTTAGAGCAACTGGTCTGTAGTCATTCAGTTCCTTGACGGTGGGCTTCTTCGGCATTGGGATAGTACAGCGTTCGAAGCAAGAAGGAACATAGCACATTTCTAGTGATTTATTGAAGATACGGGTGAAGATGGGGGCCAATTGGTCAGCACAGACTTTTAAGCAAGAAGGTATTATCTTGTCTGGGCTTGGAGCTTTTCCTGGCTTTTGTCTGTGAAATAGGTCTTGCACTTCCTTTTCTGTGATCACTAGGGGTTGTGAACCCAATGGGATGAGGTCAGTTGTAGGAGGCTTGGCTGGGGTCTAGGATTTTTCGGCTCTGTCTCTTCGCCTTGCCTCTTTTGCCTTGATGTTTTCACCTCTGGGTTATTAGCCACAAACTTTTCTCCTCGGCTGGCCTTCCGCCAGTCTTTCGCCCCAGCACAATGGCCACAGCTACTCCCTCTCAGGCACTTCGCCGCAGCCCATACACAGAAGGAGGTTTCATCCTAAATTTTTCGACACCTGGGACAGTTAGGGCCCAACAAATCAGCTAGAGGGGGAAGGAAGGAAGGAACAGCCTTAGTGAAATAGGAGGGAGATGGAGGGGGGGACTTCCACCTCTGGCTTTTTTTTCGAGAGAAGGAAGAACCCTTTTCAGGCCAGATATCCAAATCGATAACTAATGACAATGAATAATTATTGCATTAATTCCCACCCCCAAAAAGGGGGGAGATGTTAGCAAACATCCCATTCAAGATTTAGAAAGGAAGAAAAGGAAATTGTAAAAGCGCTCCATTCCCGCCCCTGCCCGTTCCCACAATTCAAAGGGAAGCACTCCTGGGTTTGGTTTTTTTTGGGGTTTTTTTTGCAAGGGGAAGAGTTAGTTGCAATTAATTTCTTAACCAAAAGTAACAGATATTAGCGCTTCCTAAAGAGAACTTGAAGAGATTCATGTTTAGGAAAAATCCTTTTCAAATAAGGCAGCTATCAAAGATCTGATAGACACAAAGGATGGCTATGTGTTGTGTTGAGGGAAAGTGTCAAGTGGCATATCACCAAGGTTAGATCCTGTGTTGTTCAAAATATTTATAACTGTTTAGAATGAGAGGTTAAAAAAAGTAATTATCTTATTTGTAGATAATAAATATATGAGAGATAGCAAATGCCTTAGAGGGCAATATCAAGATTCAAGAGCATCTTGAAAAACTGGGGAAATGGGCAGAAAGAAGCACAATTAATTTCAACTGGGACAGAAGTAAAATCTTTCATTCATGTAGGAAAAAACAAAGATTTGGTTATAGCAAATAGTGTGTGTGTGTCTGTGTGTACGTGTGCATGTGTGCTCCTGAGGAGATACCCTAACTTAGATTTTACATCTTCCTGCAAAAGACAGATTCCTTTCTTGGCAGTGTTTATCTTTTGTTATATTTTCCCTCCTTTTGTCTTCCTAATTGGCCACCTATTTGGTCCCCTATTAACAACACAAAAGATGTGTGGATTGCTGGTATGCCAAGTTGTAACATACACACCCCCTCCTGAAATCTGCACAAATGTCTTGGGAGGAAAAGAACAAACAAACAAACTGAAGTGCTACTATCTGTTGCTTTTGGTTAAGAAATTAATTGCAACTAACTCTTCCCCTTGCAAAAAATAAAAAAAACCAGGAGTGCTTCCCTTTGAACTGGGGGAATGGCAGGGGCGGGAACGGAGCACTTTTACAATTTCCTTTTCTTCCTTTCTAAATCTTGAATGGGATGTTTGCCTACATCTCCCCCCCCCCTTTTTTTGGGGGGGGGGAATCAATGCCGTAAATTATTCATTGTCATTAGTTATCGATTTGGATATCTGGTCTGATCTTCTCTCGGAAAAAAAAGCCAGAGGTGGAAGTCCCCGCCTCCGTCTCCCTCCCGTTTCACTAAGGCTGTTCCTTCCTTCCTTCCCCCTCTAGCTGATTTGTTGGGCCCTAACTGTCCCAGGTGTCGAAAAACCTAGGACAAAATCTTCTGTGTATGGGCTGCGGTGAAGCGCCTGGGAGGGAGTGGCCGTGGCCATTGTTCCGGGGTGAAAGACTGGCAGAGGGCCAGCCGAGGAGAAAAGTTTGTGGCTAATAACCCAGAGACAAAAACCTCAGGGCAAAACAGGCAAGGTGAAGAGACCGAGCCAAAAAATCCCATTCCACTTGGCTGTTGGTGTGTCTAAGATGGGGGTTGTGGAAATAGGTGGCTGTAGTTTCCTTTCAAACCTGCAGTAAAACATGTTCAGGTCATCTGCCAGTTGCTGATTTCCTTCAGCCTGGGAAGGTTTGCCGTAGCCGGTGATATTTTTAAGAGTTTTCCACATGTTTGCTGGTTCATTTGTTGAGAACTGATTCTTTAGCTTTTCAGAGTAGCTTCTTTTTGATGCTCTGATCTCACTTGTTAATATATTTCTGGCCTGATTGTACAGCATTTTATCACCTTTTCTGTAGGCTTCCTCTTTGGAACGACGTAGCTGCTTAAATTTAGCTGTGAACCAAGATTTGTTGTTACTGTATATTTGCAAGTTCCTGGTTGGTACACATAGGTCTTCACAGAAGCTGACATATGATGTTACAGTCTCTGTGAATTCATCTAAGTCTGCAGAGGTACTTTTGAAAACATTCCAATCAATGCAGTCAAGGCAGGCCTGTAGCTTTAACTTGGCCTCCTCCGTCCAGATCTTCATTGATTTAATTGTTGGTTTTGTGGTTTTAAGTCTTTGCCTGTAAGCAGGTACAAGGTGAATCATGCAATGATCAGTGTCCCACAGCTGCTTGTGGTAAAGACCGATAAAGCATCTTTTAGTGTTGTGTAGCAATGGTCTAAAGTATTCTTGCCTCTAGTGGAACAATTGACATGCTGAAAGTATTTTGGTAGCTCTTTCCTTAAATTTGCCTTGTTTAGATCTCCCAAAATAATGGCCAGTGTATCGGGGTATTTGGCTTCAGCCTCCATAATTTGGTCAGCTAGAGTTCGTAATGCCTTGTTTACACAGGCTTGTGGAGGGACATAAACATCAATTAGAAGAAATGAGTTTGTGCATCAATTCTTCCCTTGTCTATTCATATTGTTTTGACTGGTCTTGAATGTGGGTTTAGCACTCTTGGAATAGCACTAAACACTGGAGGCTTTTAAGAAAAAAATGGACATCATTTATCTGAAATGTTACAGGGTTTCCTGTCTGAGCAGTGGGTTGGACTAGAAGACCTCCAAGGTCCCTCCCAACTCAGTCATTCTGTAATCAAATAAAGGAGAATATATTATTGGAGTAGGAACTTCTCTGGACTCACCATAGAGGTCAGGATTGTTCTGCAAGTGATGCCATACAAAGTTTTTCCCTGGTAGCGGAAGTAGGGAGCCTTTTATTCTCTCCAGCACCTGATAAATAGGAAAACACCATGCTTCAGCAATTAAACTCCCAAATTCTGTATAAATGTTGTGACGCCCAACTTGCTGGTGCCAGGATGCTTACAAAAACTTCCCTTAGTAATCCACTTCTGATCTTAATATTCTTATATTTAAAATGGCATTATGCAAAGCAAAGGGCCAGTTTTCAGTAGAATATTTATTTCATCAAATGGACCCCATAATGCTTGCTTAGAAAACTTTTAAAAATATGCCTATTGATAGCCCAATAGCAAAGGTAAGCAAGGATAGTAAAGAGGTTTCTATATGGAGGCAGAGCAACAGAAATAGCAGTTTGTATTATGGTAAACTGGAATGTGTTTAGCGGATGTGTTCCTTATAATGCTGACTTGTGCATGAGCATGCCCGGCAGCAATTTTCAAGAGCACTTTCAACTGTTTTTTTATAGCTCCCCAAGGATTCCCTGCTAAATTTAATAGGTATCCAGATCTATCAGACCACAAAAGACTACTGGAGGCCTTGAACAAACCCTCACACCTTGTATTGGACACCATTGTTCCTAGTCATGCTATAATTGCAGGGCAAATCCATGTATACTCATTTTAAAATTATTTTTATAACCAACAGAGTACCTGAAGGGAATTTCAGCTATTGAAAATATTATCTTAAAAGGAAAATTCCTATTCTGAATTAATGAGAATGCAATGACAATTCTTTTTCACAAACTGATCTTGAAACTAGATTCACAGCACAACAAACAGTTGAGTTGCAGGGCTCTGCTTCAGACCAGGAAATTAAACAATCAGAACAAAAAAAAAAAAATTGGTTACCCAGTCCTTATTTTTATTTATTACATTCCACTAGTGTATCCACCCCCTCCCAGTATTCTGACAGGCTTTTGCAGTTGCAGTTGCCTCTTTCTAAAATGATCAGGGGGAAAAGATTTTGGTACTATTTTTTTATGGCTAGAGCGTTTTAGGAAATAAAATGCTTAAGGGAAAATCTAAAATGCATTAACACGTATACCGTATTTTTCGGACTATAAGATGCATTGGTGTATAAGACGCACCAAGATTTCAAAGAGGTAAGTAAGAAAAAAAAGGTTTTTGCCCTCTCCAGCCCCCAGGAACACTCTGCAGGCCTCCCAAACCCTCTGTGCACCCTGTTTTTGCAAAAAACGGGCCATTTTTCACAAAAATGGGACGAGAGGGGCGGGGCTTCAGGAAGCCAAAAATGGTTGTATTCGGTGTATAAGACACACCAACATTTCCACCCTCTTTTGGGCTGGGGAGGAGTGTGTTTTATACTCTGAAAAATATGGTAGGTTCAGTTCCAATGTTTTTGTAATACAAGCACATTTTCACAAGGATCATTGTTATAGAAAAAAATGGGAATGAAACAAAACTTGAAAAATGCCTTTTAAAATAGTTTATTTTTAACTGATTACTTTAAGAAACTTATATATACCTTTTATTTGTACAAATAACTCAAGGCAGCAAACATATCCAACAATTTTTCTTTCTATTTTCCCCACAATAATCCTGTGAGGTGAATTGGGCTAAAGAGACTGACCCAAGGTCACCCAGTTGGCTTTTACGGCTAAAATAGGACTAGAACTCAGTCTCCCAATTTCTAGCCTGGTGTTTTAACCACTAGACTAAACCAATATGTGTTTCATTGTAGCTGTAATTCTACTACAAGGATTGAGCCATGAGGAATTAGTCATGAATAAATGAAAGCATTACTATCACAATATTTTCTCTGTACTGGTACTTTCTACAAATACTATAATGATATAGATTAGATTCAAAACTGATGTTAACCAGATCCTTTTAATTCAGTTTGATTTAGTAATGAGAGTTAATGAGTTCATTCTTGTAGGCTGCAGGTAATAGGAACTGGAAAGTAATGGCCTTTATTTTGCAGAAATTAATTTCTAATTAAACTATTAGAACCATTTCTAATAATATGGATTTCTATGAGAGTTCAGATCTCATGCAAAAAATTATGTTTATAACAAAGTATTTTGCTTCCAATTAAAAACCAATTTTGTGCATAGAACAATATTTTCCTCATAAACAGCTTTAATTGATGGAACTTGTCCCTTGGAGTTTGCAAGGGAACCATCTGAAACAAATGCGGGGGAAGGCGGGGAGGAGTGGAGTAGAAGCAAGTCCTGTCTCATAAACAGATTTCAGAAGCATAGGAAACAACACATGATGGCTTAATAATTGTTCTCTTCCCCCTTCCCCCCTTCAATACTAGGTGGAGGACAAAAATCTTGTAGTGTTTATTCAGTGTTTTACTTTTTTAGTGTCTAGCAATACAATACTACATTCTGTTCAAAAATCACTAGGTTAAGGAATTATTTAATTAAAAGAATATTTAAATGATTGCTATGTTTAAATTCTATTTCCTGAATTTTGGAGTTTAGATTACTCTAAACAAAAAATTTTCAAGAGACTTGAAGTAACTTTGGCACATATTAGAACTGCTTTCAGAATTTGCTTTTTGGGTTTGCCTTCAAAATATGGATTCTAGTACCTGGTATGTGTCAACATTGAAAAAGGCCTGGTAATATTCAAACGTCCAGAAACTGGAATGCTTCTTCTGGAAGATCAAGAGCTGCAAGAATGAAAATGGAAATTACTGCTTTCTTCATGTCCAGGAGAGAAAACGGATATACAGATAATTCTCAAGTTATGAATGTAACAGAGCCTGCCCATTCCATTCGTAACCCAAGGATTCGTAGGAGTGAATTGCGTAACTTGAACACAATCATTCCCTCCTTTCGCCCACGCATTCGCTAATCGAATGCATGGCTTGTTAAGTGTACATGAGGTATCTCCGGGTGGGGAAGGCCATGGGGGGCCTAGCGATGGAACAGGCCACCTGTTTCAGAGCATCCAAGGCCTCCCCCGATGCCCTGAGATACCACATTCTCCCTCCCCTGGGGTCCCCACAATTGCTCACACACACCCATCCTGCCACGCTGGGTTATTTACCTTGTGAATTTCTGTCTCCTCTCCAGCCTGTTTCTTTGCCTGCTCCCGGTGAGCAGTAAGAGCAGAGGGAAAGTCGGATGAGCACACCCTGCTCGGCTTCTCTGACTCACCCAGGCTGCGTGCCACTTCTGGAGTGGCGGGCAACCTCAGTGACTTTTCTCCAAAGGCTTCAAGCCTCCCACTGGCATGCAAAAACTTTTCATGCGCAGACTGGAAGCTTCTGGATGCCCTAATCTTGAAAGACTTCAGGCATCCATTCTCTGCAAAACTGGATGGGTGCTTGAAGTCACAACAGATCATGGCCCCCAGAAGCTTTCAGCCTCTGGCCGAAAAGTATTTATGAGCCTATGGGGTGCCACTTCAAAGAACTCCATAGGGCTTGAGGAGGACTTTGCCGGAGAGAATGGAGCCCCCGGAGGGAGCACTCGTCACTCTGGAGTTCTGTTTTCACCAGGAAAGGCCTTGAGGAAAAGCCTCTGCTGAAGAGAACTGAGCTCCCGGAGGGAACACACGTCTCTCCAGAGCTTTGTTTTCACCAGGAAAGGCCTCTGCCAAAGAGAACAGAGCCCCCGAAAGGAGCATACATCGCTCTGGAGCCCCGTTTTTGCCAGGAAATACCTTTTCTTAAGGCAGGGGCATCAAACTCAAGGCCCGCGGAGTGTTTAGATCTGGCCCGGGGGGCCACCCTGGAAACAGGAAAGGACTGGCCTTTAGTGCCTCTGCCAATAAAAACGGAGCTCAGGAGGGCTGTGTGCAGCCCTCTTGAGCTCCATTTTCACTGGCAGAAGATTGCAGGAGGCCGTCGCAAACAAAACGCAGCTCAGGAGCCCATTTTTGCTGGCAGAGCGCTCGGGCCACCACAGGCACCCCCAACACAAGTGATGTTGAGGTGGCCATGCCCACCCCGGCCTCCCAAGTTCAAACACAACCCTGATGCGGCCTTCAATGAAATAGAGTTTGACACCCCTGCCTTAAGGCCTCCGCTGAAGAGAGAGGAGCCCCCAGAGGGAGCATGCGTCACTCCAGAGCTGTTTTCACCAGGAAAGGTGTTTTCTCAAGGCCAAAGAGAACGGACCCCCAGAGGGAGCGCACCTTGCTCCAGAACTCTGCTTTTGCCAGGAAAGGCCTTTCCTCAAGGCTTCTGCCGAAGCGAATGGAGCTCTGGAGCAATGCATGCTCCCTCTAGGGGCTCCGTTCTCTTCGGCAGAGGCCATGAGGAAAGGCCTTTCCTGGCAAAAACGGAGCTCCAGAGCAACATGTGTGTCCCTCCCGGCCTGTTCTCAGCAGCAAAGGTTTTTTGCAAAGATGGCAAAAGGCTTCACAAACTGTTGTGGCCCGTATGCGGCCTATGCGGCTGGTGGCTGATTCGGACAGCGAGGAGGCTGGTGTGCTGCGCCAGCAGCCTGTGCAGCTGGCACTCGAGTCAGACAATGAGGCTGGAGAAGATGTGCCACAGGTGGGGATTCAACCAGGGCCTTCAGAACCTCCAGAAGCTCCCTTAAGTGAAGAGGATGAAGAGGAGGAGCCTCTTCTCGATGCACGGGCGCGCAGAGCTGCCAAAAGACAGGAGTGGCTCCTCAGGAGGAGGTCTCCTCGAGAGTAAGGCTTGGGGCTACTTGGCCACTCCCTTAGCCTATTTAAGGAGGAACGCCGACTGAAGCAATCTGCAGGGAACAACCATTCACTCTCCTTCATGCCTTGATCTTAGTTATCTGCAAATTGCTTCTGGACTTTCTGCCAACCATAGTAAGATTAAGATTATTTATTTTTTGGATTCTTGCAGGCTGTTAAGAAAGTTCATTAACAGCCTTTTGTTTGTAAAAAAAAAAAGAAAACTGATTTTATTTTAGTAAACTAAGGTTTGTACAGACTTTGTGTGTGCTGCATTCTTTGGGGTCCGTAGCTGGTGCAGAACACAAACGAAGGGAAAGCTTCAGTGTTTCAGGCCTTCCCTCCATTTGCAAAGCCTTTTGCTGCAGATCTTGTCCAGGCCTCCGTTTGCAGAGAACAGAGGCCTAAATTCCATGAGATCACTAAAGATCAGTAGCATGAGATTTTGGGATTACTGATCTTGTGTGATCTTGCGGTACTTTCGACTTCTATTCTCTGTGTTCTCACCGAAGGCCTGAAGTGCTAAAACAGGCCTAACAGTGCCTATGAAGTCCAGGGATGGGGGTGAGGATTGGCAGGACGAATGTTGCAGACCCTCTGCAATCATTTGTAAGGGTAAACAGTTGCCGCGGTGCTGCAACATTCGTAGTTTTGGGACTTGTTCACAAACACTAGGGGGCACTTATTGCGTAACTTTGAACATTCGCTAATGTCCATAACTTGAGGACTGCCTGTGTTTTATATTGGCATTAAAAATTATAAAGGTAAAGTACAGTCTGCAACATCAAATAATTACAACATAAAAAGCAGTTAGTTCAAGATGGAAATGATAGGGTCAGGAGGCAGGTCAGCACCTACTGAAGTTTCCCAATGCTTTTCAAATACAGCTCCATTGCAGAGCTCAAAGTGTTATTTAATGAGCCTTGAGATAACTAATCCGGAACCAGCAGTGCATTGTAATTGGCAAGTGTTCTATTAGGCTAGGCCAGTACCGTATTTAAGTATCAGTCCCAGGCTGTGAAACCCAATTTTGTCAAGTAGTTCTTTTTTAGATTTGAAAAACATTAAGTGGGGTATTGCACAGATCAGTCCTGGTCCTCTATTCTTCAATATTTTTATTTACAATTTGGATGAAGAGAATACTTGTTAAAATTACAGATGTCTTTAAAATATTAGATGAGCTGGTTCTAACATATGGGTCTATTCCCTCCTCAGTTTTTTCACCTTAATTATGTTTACATATTTGTCTCCTTTTTGATTAAACCATCACTTGTATTTTCCCATTTACCCTGTTTCCCCCCCCCCCAATAAGACATCCCCTGATAATAAGCCCAATCAGGCTTTTGAGCACATGGCAATAAGGCCAAGCGCTTATTTCAGGGTTCAAAAAAATATAAGACAGGGTCTTATTTTCAGGGAAACACGGTATTTATACATCATGGTATTTCACAAAATATGTTCATAAACAAAAATAATCTACTGCCATAATGAATATTAATGTTGATATCACATTGTTAATACTTTTTCATTATTAGTCTGAAATTCTGAGAGCAAGAAAGAATAAAAATAATCAGGGATGGGAAATGAAGTATGGTAAGAACAGACTGAGGGGGGAAAAGAATCCATTTGGGGAAATGAGGAATCCATGGTTGCCCCAATCCTTTGGAACAGCCTCCCTACTGAGCTTTAGAAGGTTCCACCCTATTAACCTTCCCACAGGCTGTGAAGACCTCCCTTTTATTCAGGCATTGGGCTACATAGGAAGTGAGCCCAACAAATGTAAATAGAAGCTAGAATAGTAGCTCTACCCGCATGGTGTGTAAAACAGCACCATCTCCAAAATTCTTCTGCTAAAATTCAGCACCCCAAAAAATCTGCATTTTGTAAATTTTCTTAATCCCCGCCCTTAAACACCTTAACTGCTCCCCAAACAGCCAAAAATTGAGCTTGCCTCTGTTCTCCAATTTAAAACCCTTTCAACTTCTTTAGTAATCAAAAGCATGTTTAGGAGATTAAAGGTTATATGGCTTCCTGAAGTCTAGTCCCTCAAACATTGCCCATCCTAGCTAGTTTCAGAGGTTGGGGGATCAGATAGGAACAATGAGTTCACCACTGATCCCTGTATTGTGGCTGAGTTTGCTAATTTTTCTATTTTTTGTAAATTAAATGATTATTTCTGCCCCTTCATGTTAGCATGCTAACAGAGCTAACTTATTCCTAATTTGTTGCATGAATTCCAAATTAACCCTTTTTGGAGCTTTAATGTGAATTTGTCAAGAAATACTATAGCCAAAGTAGAAAGGTTCCCTTGCATTTTTGTCTCAGAGTGTATGTTGATTTATGCTTAAAACACTTTGCAAGAACACACTTCAAAAACATTGTATTTTTTGCACATATTCTTCATAGTTTGATGCTCCACTTAACTGGTAAGCAACATCTAGTCTTCTCACCAGTTTCTGAAGACCCATGTAAGTAGTGAGTTAAGTTAGGAATCTTCCTTCTTCCCAAGATATTATTTGGAGTAAGTACATAGTACATAGTATAAGTGAGTACACTTATAAATCTTACATAATTTCAAAAGCTGGATATATTTTTTATCAATTTTGTTTTCTTTAGCTAAAGAGATCTACTTGCTGGCTAGGTAACTACTTCTATTCACTAGACCAGCGGTTCTGAACCTGGGGGTCGCGACCCCTTTGGGGGTCGAACGGCCATTTCACAGGGGTCGCCAAAGCCCTCTCTCGCCCCCCCACCCCCGCCTTCACTCACCCTCACTCTCTGCTCTGTTGGATCGCCGGCCGTTCGTTTACCTCGCCCACTCCCAATCTATTGCTGCCTCCGATGGCTAGAGGAAAAAAAACTGTTTAAATTTTTGCCGCGGGGCTTCAAAGGGCCGCCCTAGAGCCAGTGGTGCAGCCGAACACTTTGTTAAATTGCTGGCTTGCCCCGCCTCTCCGCACCACTATTTATTGCCAATAAATAGTGGTGAGTGAGGGGCGGGGGAGCCAGCAATTTAATCAATGGTTCGATGTTTTTTTGTAATTTTATTGGCCCACGGAGCTTCAGCATAGGCTAATTAGCCCTTGCTTAGATCCGCTCCCGACCCCCAGCTGATTTGCTCTCAGCTGTTTTGCTCAGGGCTCTGCTGCTTCCTTGGAAAGAGTACTGATTTTTTCCCCCCCTATCTATGCTTAAAAACGAAACTGAAACTGCTTTGCTGTTGCTGCAACTTGGAAAATTAGGCAGGCATATTTCTTTTCTTTTTCCTCACCAAAAAAGGTAGGTGCAAACAACGGGAAATTTAGGGAAAAAGAGGAGATTTTAAAACACAAAAGAAAAAGGCTCTATTTAACTAGGGAATTGTAATAATTGAGATACTATTAATTGTATATTGTGTTGAAAGCAGAAATGGTTAAGTTGTGGTTTGGAGGAATATATGGGGGAAATTATTTGGTTTATTATTATTGGTAAATATAATTAATTGATTTGTAAGAAATTGGATTGCATGGAAATAATTGGAATATTCATGTTCATATTGATTAATATACAAAAAAGGTAGTTATATAACTAATTGATTTATATTAAAATGTTGAATTTATATTAAACAACTGTAATATTACATAATTAACCAATGTGAGGATGGATATAAAAATAGATGACAATGGGAAGGGGTATAATATAGAATAGAAGGGAAAAATTGAATTTGATTAAGATTAGAGATGAGGATGAAGGGTAATATTGCTTTTTTTACAAAAATAGATGAGGAATAAATATGGCAAAAAGGAAATATAGAAATTGTAAATTTAATTGAAATGACTAAACGCTGTTTAAATTTATGAACCGGCCAAATACTCTGTTCAAAGAAAATACATTGTATGTTTGTATGTGTGTTTCTAATTATTGTTATTTATTCATATTTGTTCTCTTTTATTCTTTAAAGTTTAACAATTCATTCTTTATCTTAATATCTTTATATTTGTTTGGGGTTGGCTTTCTTCCCTTTCATCTTTTTTATGGTACAGCAATCTTTCTCCTCAAACCTACCACCTCTCTCTTTTCTTTCCTTCTTACTTTCTCTTCCCCCCTCTCTTCTTCTCCTCCCTACTTCCTCTTCCTTTCTCCTTCTCCTCCTCTCTTCCTCCCTCTCTTACCCTCACTCCTACTCTAATTTCCCTTCCCTTCCTTCATCCCTCTCTATTGCTGTATCCTTTTATGCATATGGACTACTCAGAGGGCTGAAAAAGTTATTTCTGACTGATCCTCGCACTTTTGACCATTCTTCGAACTTACGACTGTCCTCACATTTTACGTTTTTGCCCTATCTTGTCACCATGGTGAAGAGAAGCAGTTGTGAAATGAGTGACACATTGTTAAGAATGCTACAATGGGCATAAATGATGACCAGTCATAAGTGTGAAGACCGGTCAAAAGTGCGAGGACCTGTCAGAAATCACTTTTTTCAGCCCTCTAGGTAGTCCTTTTGTGCATATGGACTACTCAGAGGGCTGAAAAAGTTATTTTTGACTGGTCCTCGCACTTTTGACCAGTCCTCGAACTTACGACTGTCCTCACATTTTACGTTTTTGCCCTATCTTGTCACCATGGTGAAGAGAAGCAGTTGTGAAATGAGTGACATGGTTGTTAAGAATGCTGCACGGGCATAAGTGTGAGGACCAGTCAAAAGTGTGAGGACCTGTCAGAAATGACTTTTTTCAGCCCTCTGAGTAGTCCCTATACACATAGCCATGGCCACCCGGTCACATGACCAGCTAGCCACACCCACTCAGTCACATGACCTCCAAGCCATGCCCACAAAATAAGCCACGCCCACAGAACCGGTAGTAAAAAAATTTAGAACCCACCCCTGGTTGGGGGTCACCACAACATGAGGAACTGTCTTAAAGGGTCGCGGCATTAGGAAGGTTGAGAACCACTGCACTAGACAGTCTGATCCTAAAGACTAAAGTGGTATCAAGGGTGGTGTGAAAAGGTTGCATGAAAATCTCAAAGGATCCACATACTGCACACACTTGCTGTAAGGGAAGAGACATCCCAAAGGATTAGGAGTGGACTTGTGGGCATAATCAAATATTACTGTATAAATAGCTGAATAAAAATCATCAGTTACAGTGAAAAAGTAGGGAGGTGCCAAGAATTAAGAATTTTCCTACTCTTCCATGCTGGGATAAAATGGGCATCATATTAAATATATATATCAAATATTGAGGTCAAATTTCATAGTGGCCAGGGCAGGTAAGATAATTACCAACTAGACAGCCAAGTTTTTGGCTAGGGCCTGGATATCTCAATTCCAGTCCATCCTCACTTATGGAAGCAAAACAAATAACTCTGGACTAATCATCCTTCAGCCCAACTTTACATACTGTGCAGGAATGTTATTGCACAGAAAATTAAATTCTGCATACATCACCTTAAACTTTTGGAAAAACATAAATTTAGCATATATATAAAACAAATACATTACTATGTTCCTCTGACACGTTGGGAAAAGTATTTTCTGCAATAAATAAGTATGTCTACCACTCTCTGCTAATCATAACTTTTACTTGATATCCTATTATCTATGTCTCTCATATGTACACTATATCCCAATTTATGTCAAAATGTCCCTAGACTAAGTTCATGCAGTTTCCTCCATCTCCCCAAAACTCACCTCAGTTTTGTCCTCCTCTTCATCTGGCTCATATTCCTCATTACAGCTAGAAGACATGTTTAGAGTTGTGTGGCTTTGCCTCTCACTAATGCTAGGAGTAGTAGCATCAGCATTCCCAGCCAGCAAATCCATGGCTTCATTAAATTCTGCAGAGAAAATATCAATCTCATCCAATTGACTCAAACTTCAGTCTGGCATTAAAAGGCTACCTGCAACAGCACTTTCTAAACTTAGGAAATTTTGCTAGTGTGTATTAAATTAAAAATAATTTTAAGTATTTAAAAAGCATGTGACCAAAGGCAGAAAAAGAATCTGAGCTTTTGCAGACAATTTGGATTTTTAAGGGGAAAAAAGTAGGAAATTAGAAGATATTTCCTCAGAGATTGGAGAAATCTTAAAAATGTTAATGATGCCCCAACAAAAAACTATCCACAAAATTATTATTTTTTTTGTCTAAATGTAAGACTTAGAAATTAAAATCCTCCCCAAATATGCACACACATAAAAATATCACTCAATATTTGTCAAAATAATGGGGGAAAGCAGCTACATTTATATTTACAGTAACAGAATCATTTTATCCATGCGTACTATCCACAAGAGTTATATTTCCCTTTCAGTTCTACTAAAGTCATTATCTTATACATTCAGAAAAATCAGAATATAGTGCAGTTTAAGAGTATGACATGGAAAATAGACAAACATAATAAGAGTTCTTCTCTAAAGTACTGTATTTCATATTCAGAGAACTCTCTTCTATAGGTTTAAGACTGCAGCTTTCCCTGTACTTTAACTTAGTCTAGTATGTATTTTTAGTCCCACTAAATTCTATAGTTATACAGCTCTTTTTATAGAGCTCTGGTGGTGCAGTGGTTAGAATGCAGTATTGCAGGTTAACTCTGCCCACGGCCTGGAGTTTGATCCTAAAGGACTCAAGGTTGAATCAGCATTCCATCCTTCCAGGGTCAGTAAAATAAGGAGCCGAGTTGTTGGGGGCAATATGCTGACATTGTAAACTGCTCAGAGAGTGCTATAAAACTCTATGGAGCAGTCTAAGTGCTATTGCCATTGTTACTGCTCCAGTCCTTAACAGCAGGCAGGTCTTCAGAAGCTAGGCAAAAAAAAATATTTACAGGCAGTTCTTGCATTACAACCATTCATTTAGTGACTGAAGTTATAACTGAAGAATAACTCACTGAAAAAAGTGAGTTATGCCTGGTTTTCACTTACAACCATTGCAGCATCCCCAAAGTCACATGATCCAAATTTGGCCGCTTGGCATGTGGCAGGTATTTCCTAGGGTCATGTGATCATTTGAAACCTTCCCAAATGGCTTCCAACAAGCAATAGCAATAGGGAAAGCCAGATTCACTTAACCACATTTACAACTGCACTGACTGGTTTAACAATTGTGGCAAAATGGGGCAAAACTCAACAACTGTCTTGCTTTGCAATGGAAATGTTGGGCTCAATTGTGATTGTAAATTAAAGACTATCTTTACTAACTGGATGCTCAAGAAAGCTTCTAGTGCAGACACAGTGAACTACATGGCATAATCCAGGCATCTCATAAATAACAAAACCTAACAAAAGAAAAAACATTGCTTGACTAGGTGTCCATATCTGCTTAAATGGTGAGAAAATACTCACCACGAAACTTGAGCTCATCTGAAGCAGCCATTATGAGGCCAGAGTACCTACAAAGGGAAAGAGACAGCTGTTCGGAGAAGACACGACTATGAAAGGCAGCTCGGTGGATGGGGCAGAATACCCTTCAGCCGCTCGGTTCTCTCTTCCTTCATCCAAAGAAACGCCAAGTCTCCATGACAAACCAGGCTTGCCCTACCCTGCCCTCCCGCACTGATCACCTGGGAGAGGTGGAAGGATGAGAGGAGGATGTCAGGCGCTGCTTACCGACGGTGGAAAGGCACTCTGCAGATGCTCAGAGACGCCGAGGGCCGCACTCTAGCCACCTGTCACCACTCGTTTGCGAAACCGTCTGTTTATTGCACGGCTCCACGTCGTTCATAGGACTGCCTCAATCTTCCTACGTGGAGGGGACGGCAAGGAGAGGAAGTCCCAGCCCACCGCTAAGCCACGGAAGGCCTATCGGTGAAGAGAAAGATCCGGCGCTGCACTCGAGTATTACCCGAGACTCCTCCCCTACCGGCTGTGCTAAGGAGGCCGCCGCGGTTTCGTCACGGGGCACTTAGATTATCCTTCCCCTGCCCCAGTTGTGGCCACTGGAAGCGGGGAAAGGCGGACCTTTCTTGAAGACGTCGAAGCCTTGCATTCGGGGCCTGGTTATTTGGTAGCAGAGTATCTTCCTGTGTATGAACAGTTATAAACAGCTGCGAATGTATAACTGTCGAAGCTGGCCCCTCGTCCCTTTCCGACAACCCCCAGATGTGTCCCTACGGTCCTAAATGCCGGCGCAGGGACGCCAAGATGAGCTGTTGTCTTCGGGGAGGAACTACCGACAGCAACCACGTGACACGCTGCCTTTTCCTTCCCAGCCCTGACTTCCTCTTGGCTACCGTTTTGGCGGTCCGGTCGGGTTTGGCGTCCGGTCGCATCTCAGGACGAGCGGACATGACGGGCCCTCCAAATCCCGGAGAGACGGGGGAGAAGAAGCCGAGTTTGGGGGGCCGTCTCCGCGCCGGCCGCCTAGGTAGCCAAGGCCGCTTTGCCCCTCGCAGGCCGGAGAGGGAGGCTGTTTGAGGCGCGTCTGCCCCTTCCCCACCCCCCAAACTTTCTTTCCCGCTCCTCTTAACGTGATATTTTCTGTCTCGTCAGCCTTGTGGTGGAAGAGTCTCCTGCACGACTATGCTGAAGCCTGCCGAGAAGTCGCCCAAGGCATCCGGCAGCGGCCGGTGAAAGCAGGGCTCTACCTATCGCTGCTGGCTGGAACGGTGAGCTGCAGCCTCCGCAACCCCAGTGAAGCCTCATTCGACTCCAGCCTCCTGGAAGCCTCGGGAACTCTCCTACTCCTCTCGCCCTGGACCCGCAGTAGCAGCTCGGAAAAACATACCCAGCGGCTGATGGTGCTCCGAAACCGAGGCCAGCTGCGGGTCCAGAACCTCGTCTTTTTCTCCCTCCTCTACGAGGCTCCTTACGACGCCGGAGCAGACCTCTATCAAGCGCACTGCAAGTACCTAAAGCCACGGTGGACTGATTTTCCCAGCCGGGTCCTCGATGTAGGCTTCTGGGGGCGCTGGTGGGTGTTGCACTCTAGAATGCAGAATTCAGATATTAACAATGAAGAGTTTCAGTATCTGCCAGAGCATCTCAGGACCATTTCTTTTAATCACTTGCACTCAGAAACCAACGAGAAACTTTTTGATGAGAAGTACAAAGCTGTGATTCTGACAGAAGAGCAAATCGAAGAAGCTGACAGGGAGAATCAAGGGCAGCTGCATTCTTAATTAAAGCAGTTGGGTGACTGTAATATAATATTAGAAAACAAACCAAGGTATTTCATTTATTCATCTTTCTATTTTTTGCTAGGACTCAGCTATTCATTGCTGTATTCCTGATAGGCTTAGATGCAAGATGCAAGAATAAATGCTATCCAAAACTGAGGAGATGCTTGATGAGCAATTCTTAGTGCCGCCTGAATTGAAAAATTAATAATAGTTGAATTCTAATGTATTTATTATTAATCTCATGTTGTTTTTGATTTGTCGCCTAGGAAGGAATCCATTTTGATCTGGGTGTATATAGATATTCAATTTTTTTTTAATTCTTTCAGCTATAATTGCTGCAAATATCTTGTAGTCCAAATATCTGCAGTCATCCAGGCCATATCTATTCTGGACCAAGATTGGTGTGGGCAAGAATAGAATGTGTATTGGTTTTCATCTTCATGTATTTCTCTCCATACGTCTCTCAATTTTAATTCCGATACCATATTAAAAATTTCTTTTGATAGTGTTTTTTTTTAATTTTTCTTGTTGCGCTTGTAATCTTTTTTTAACATCATCTATGGCATTATAATCTCCAATTAGACAAACATTTTCATATTCCAGATCTATTTCTTTGCTGTGTATTTTTTTAAAGAATTTGTGTTGATTTTTATTAGGGGCATATATTACTATTAATAATTATTTTTTCCTTCCATTTCTAATTCCACCATTACAATTATATCCTCCTCTTCTGCATAGATTAATTTTGATTTTATCTTTTCTTTTACATATACCACTACTCTCTTCTTTTTTTGTATCAGTGATGTGTATAGTTTTCCTATTTTTGGATTCTCTAATAGTTTTTGATGTTCTTTTTTGATGTGTACTCTTGAAGACATATCACATCTGCTTCCAATTTTTGTAATTTTATAAATGTGTTCTTTTCTTTGGTACATTTAATCTGTTTATGTTTACTGAAAAAAGTTTAATTGCCTCTTCAATTGCCTCCTGTTGTTCTTTTTTAGTGTTTCTTGTCTCCATCCGCATTCTTGCTTTCACCCCTTCTCTTTCCTCTTGTTCTTTTTCCTGGGTTTTTCTTATTTCTCTTTCTCTATTTCTTCTATTTGTTCTTCTTCCTGGCTTTTGCTCTCTGATTCCTCTTTGCTTTCCAGTTCTTCTTCCTGTGTGAAATGTAGATTATAAAATTCTCTTGCCTTCTCTAACGTATCTACTTTATATTTTTTATCTTGCCATGTAATTAAAATTCCATCTATCTACAGGATACAAAAGACAGAGGGGGAGTAGCACTCCCAGAATGGGAATTATATTATCAAACTGCTGGCATAACATGGTTAAAGGAATGGATAGAACTAAGGAATAAGAGAATATTAGCAATAGAAGGCCATGATCTACAACAAGGATGGCACGCTTGCCTCTGGGATGGAAAATATAAAATACATAGTTACTCTACGAGACATATAATAAGAAATGCATTTTTACAAATTTGGTTGAAAATTAAAAAACAATACTATACAAAAACACCAATTTAGCTTTCACCGACAGAAATATTAAAACACCCAAATTTAACAGAATTAAATAAAATAATTAGATACAAAGACTTACTAGACCAGCAAGGAAAACAAATCAAAACAAGAACTGGAATTGGATTTGAATAGAGATATAGACTGGTGGATATATATATATATACAAATACAATCCAAACATCATGAAGACACAAAAACATATGAAATACAAAGAGAACATCACGAATTAGATAAAATTATATTAGGGACAGATGAAAAACTAATTAGCAAGATATACAAATTTTTACTAAACTATAAAATGGAAGAGATAGTGAAAGATTCATTGATTAAATGGACACAGAACTTTTAATTATACAATAGATTTGGAGAAGTGGGAAACAACATGGCAAGTAAATTCAAAATTAACATCAGCGGCATACAAGGAAAACCAGTTGAAGATGTTTTATAGATGGCATTTACCACTGACAAGAATGGCAAAGATGTTCCCAAATAATGACCCAACATGTTAGAAGTGTAAGAAAACCCATGGAATCTATTACCATCTTATGGTGGACATGCCCGGCGGCGAAAAAATTCTGGACAAATATAAAGAAATAGTTAGAAAAAATAACAGATCAACCAATAGAAAGAAAACCAGAAACGTTTCTACTAGGAATATTCACGAGAACATATACCAAAGAAATAAAATATCTGATTTTACACATCATAACAGCGACTCGAATAACATATGCACAAAAATGGAAACAGAAAGAAACACCAATAGATGAAGTGATAAAAAAAGTTTTAGAATGTGCTGAGATGGACACGTTAACAAAAGAAATTAAAGAAAAAGAAGAGACAGATTACTATACAATTTGGAACAAATGGTATGAATGGCCCGAGAGCAGAAATAACACAAATAGGGGGGAAGATAAAATGTAAAATATGTATGTAACATATATTTATATATATATAATATACACTGCTCAAAAAAATAAAGGGAACATAAGCAGAAGACATCCAAGATCTGAATGAATGAAATAGCCTTATTAAATACTTTGTTCGTAACAGTAGATCTCGGATGTCTTCTGCTTGTGTTCCCTTTATTTTTTTGAGCAGTATATATATATCTTAGCTAATTGTTTTAAGGGGGAAAAACGTTAAGCATTAATGGGTTTTTCAGGAATCTGAAACAAATAAATAGAAATGTATAAGATTAAGGCTATTAGGATTAGAAAATCAATCAACAAGGGGACAATGAAGAAAATGAAACAATAGGAGAGACATGGGGGCGGGAAGTCAGTGGAAAGCAGACCACGAAGAAACATTTGTTAAAAAGAGGATATATTTATGTTGTCTGTGATGTGTTTGTCATAATGTGTAGTAATAAAAATAAAACTTTTAAAAGAGAGAGAGAAATTAATAATAGTTATCTCTTGGTACTCATTTTTTCCTCTAAATGTGATGTGAAACCTTATGCAAATTGGAGGACAAATGGATCAGTTTCATAATCTTCCCATATCACTAAAGACAATAAGGAAAGTTCCATGCTATTTGTTCCCTATCAGAAATGATCAGTTTCACTTCAGTTTCTGTTTGGATTCTGCTAAAAGGCAAGACAATATGGTTTCCAAGCCCCAACACTTTTTTTCTTTACAAACCAGCACATTAGCTTAAAAAATATTGTAGAGTCTTTCATTTTGTTACATTTCAGTTATATTTACTGTAAAACTAAAGCTTAATACAGTCTGCTTCATTTTAAAAAGATTAATTTCTATAAATCTGTTCCAAGTCTTCTATGTATTTTTCCAAGATGTAAGTAACAGATTATCAAATTTCTGCAAATCCTTTGTAAATTTTCTATACATCACTGAATAATGCGAATATTGATGTTTTCTAAAACCCTGTTGGTCAGCAATCTGAGGATTCTAATGGTTGTTTGAAAGGAACATATGTTGAGATGGCAAAATTACAGTTCAGGCCTCAGCAGGCCTTGGAGGCCATGGAAAGTTGCACAGGAAACCCCTAGCCCAGTGATGGCAAACCTATGGCACGCATGCCGGAAGTGGCACCCAGAGCCATCTCTCCAGGCACGCCAACCGTTGCCCGTTGCTCTTCTGGTTTCTGGCGGGCGCATGTGCGTCGGTTACCTGGTCTTCCAGTTTCTGGGATGCATGTGTGCATGAAGATAGCTGGTTTTCACACCGCGGGAGCACTGGAAACGAAGAGCAGCTCCCTGGCGTGCATGCGCACACTGGGAAGCTCAGCTTCCGGTTTCCAGCGTGCACAAGATAGTTTTCACATGCACCAGAAGACCACATGCATATGCACACTGGAAGCATAGCTTCCCTGAACGCACATGCGCACCAGGAAGCTGCACTTCCCGTTTCCGATGCTCCCCTTCGTGCATGTGCGCTCCCATTTTGGAACAGTGCCAAAAAGGTTTGCCAACACTGCCCTAGCTTGTGAGTTAAGCATGTGACCCAAATCATAGAAGGCGTGCTTGACTTATTTTTATAATTTCTGTATTTCTATGCCTTATCTGTGGCATGCCAACTTCCTCATATGTAACCAAGCGAAAACAAAAAAATGTATACATATCTGCCTCACACTGTGTTCAGGCTTCCTCCACCTTTAAGAGGATCCATCTTTATTCAGCTGAATAAGCGTGCTGGCCTATCAAGACAAACCTGGACACAGTCTTATTTTTTCACTGAGTCACACCACATAATAACCCCAGAGGGATTTCCAGAAGGCAGAGGTTGCTGAAATTAGCAACTATTTCCCTCCCTAATTTGAGTGTACAACCTTGGATATTGGGGACTGCATCTCTTAGGACAACATATGGATCTGTTTAAAAATGTCATGTTTCTTAAATATGTTGACATGGCACTCATGGCTTGTTTGAATGGGGTGCTATGTAAATTACTTCATGTAGTTAGCTGAGCTATTTTCAGAACTGTCACATTCAGATCAAACAATGATCTGCATTATTTGATTTATGGTTTAAGTACAATTAAAAACAAGTGTGGAAAATAATGCTATGATAGAAAATTAGTTTTAAGAGGCTTGTTTGCTAAAATTAACTCAAAACATACATTATGAAAAATATTAAAGAAAAAGTGACATGGAATAACAACAGCCCCATTCCTCATTGTAAAATTGAAAAAGTATTCTCCCAAGATTGTATCATTAATACATGTGTATGATTTTAAATTGGTTTGTAGGCATATTGCTAGTTTTTTTCTGCCAGTTGGGAATTTACAGCATGAAGGTTAAATAGGTGAGATAAAATGACAACATAACATGGTATTTCTATAATAAAATATAAGCTATTATAATGATATAACAAACTGCAAGTAATCTAAAATTTTACAGTCTATGAATTATAAATACTTGACAGATTGTAATGATTTATTTCAAAATAGTGTCAGTCTAGTATAGTGAAGGCATCAGACAAGAAAACAGTGTGAATCACAGATTAAATAATTATCTCCTATGTATTAGATAGTTTTATTAGAGAGTAATCCCAGATTAGATAGGAAACCAACTGAGTATCCTTGGGCCTTCAATAGCAATAGCACTTGAATTTATGTACTGCTTCGTAGTCCTTTACAGTCCTCTAAGTGGTTTGTATATTGCCCCCAGTAATCTGGCTCCTCATTTTAACCAACCTTGGAAGGATGGAAGGCTGAGTCAACCTTGAGCCCATCAGGATCAAACTCCTGGCTGGGGGCAGAGTTATCCTGCATTCTAATCACTGCACCACCACGGCTCTTCACACCTGGGAAGCAGGCAAGGGAAAAACACTTCCAAAATCTTACCAAGAAAACTTCAGAGACTGTTCCTGGCTGCTACCAGGAGTCAAAAACTGAGTCAAAAACACACACACAAATCCCCTAGAGTTACATAATGAACCCAAAGTCTATTGTTCAAACATACAGTACAGACGGGGCAACAGCTTATGAAAGGCTGAACTAGGGCCACTTCTTACTTCCAAATAATTCATTGCTGGCTTCTGGTCCTATCCAGACAGATTTTCTTGTAATTTTCCACAGATTTATATAAACAAGTGGTGGGAGGGAGGAAATGGCAATAGAGTCAGGTGGCTAAGTGGTATGTGGCAGCAGCCAAAAAAGCCAAATGCAGTCTTGGGCTGCATTAATAGAGGGATAAAGAATCAAGGTAACGTGAAATTCTAGTACCACTTTACAAAGCCTTAGTAAGACCATACTTGGAATACTGCATCCGGTTTTGGTCATTACAATATAAAAACTCTGGAAATAGGGCAGAGAAGAACAAGAATGATTAGGGGACTGGAGGCTAAAACATACAAAGAACGGTTACAGGAATTGGGTATGTCTAGTGTCTAATGAAAAGGACTAGGAGAAACATGATAGCAGGGATCCAATATTTGAGGGGCTCCTACAAAGACAAATGGGGGTCAAACTATTTTCCAAATAAGAGAAGTCAATACA